CCAGGGGTGAACGCTGCCTTCCCCCAGAGTGCTCCGGCGCGAAGCAGCATGTCCTGGGGCAGGGAGGGGCAAAGCAGGGACCCAGCCCTACAGGGCACCATTCAGACGTGGAGGATGAACGAAAGCCAGGGCTAGGGAATCAGGGAAGGGCGTATAATGGCCCAGCTCTCTGAGGTTATCTACAGCCGTGAAACAGGCCCCAAGATGAGGGGAGGAGATGGGATTGCTGGTCCCAATGACGAGGGTGAGGAGCAGCATAGGACATTTAGCTTGAGCTAAGTTTGACAAGAGGACAGGGGGTTGCAGCCCAGGCCGGGGATGGCGACTAGGCTGTGTCAATGTTTCTGCTGGGACGTCAAGCCGGGGGCTCCTGGCTATAGGGTCCTGCCCCTCCACTCAGGGTCAGACAGACGCTGTGTTAAGGGCAGGAAAGGATTTTACCTGCTGGTTAGATTGGTACGGACCGGGGTAGTTGCCTTCTTCTGTGGTGGGGGCATGGCCTCTGCCTGTGATCTCTCATGTGTTTATTAATAACCTTTGCAGCAGCAGGATGTTGGTCTTGGTGGTCCCCCTGCTTTCCTTGGGGCAGGTTCAGGTGTGATGCCTTAGGTTGTGTTGCTCAGAGGTTGGACAGCGGGTTTGTCTGAGGTGGTTTGCACAGGCCTGATCCTGCCTTAAGCAGGGGTTGGACTGGATGAGACCCCTGGAGGCCCCTTCCAGCCCCACGGCTCTAGGATTTTATGTCCACCACCCACCTTGCTAGCCAGTACTGCCACTGTAGCTTTCTCCCCCACTCCCTGCCCCACCCATCTGGTATGTGGACTGGGCTAGCCCTAGGGCAGGGACCCTCTGTGGGGTAGGACTGCTGCGCACAGCACATACAAGCTGCAATGCCCCAAGCTGCTTTGCCAGGCTCTGCTGCTCCACCTGCCTGTCAGGCTTGTTGCACTGCTTGCCGACTCCCTCTAAGTCACAGCTCCAAGGGCCATCACTGAGCTCCCACGCTAGCTTTGCAACCAAAGCTTGTACAGACCAGGCCCCAACTCTGAGTGACCTGGACCACGTAACTGTGCTCCTCAAGATCTGTGCTCCTCAAGATGAGGTTACACACAGCTGGGCCCTGCACTGGGGTGGGGGTCCTTGGAACTGGCATATACTGGGTCAGACCACAGGTCCATCCTGCCCCGTCCCTGTTCCTGCATCCCAGGGTGGCACGGAGTGGAGCTGGAGGGCGAGTGCCCAGGTATGTTCTTCCACCGAGGTCCAGGCAGGTCTGGTGCAGAGGCCGTGTCCCCTACTCCCTGCTCAATAGCTCCCGATGCCCCTTTCCTCTGCATCCCCACGTGTCCAGTCCTTTGTGAATCTGGCTAAACTCTCAGCTTCCCGCATGTCTGGTGGCAATGAGCTTCACCCTTTAATGATCCCCTGGGTGAAACAGAGCTTCCTTGTGTTCTTTTTCAACTGACAACCTACTCATTTCATGCTGTGACCCCTTGTTGTTGTATTGAGAGACAGTCTGTAATAAATCCCTAGCAACTTTCTCTCCACCATTTAGTATTTTGCACTCATAACCGCAGCTCTCTAGGACCAGGGATGATCAACCCCTGGCCTGTGGGCCAGATCCGGACCCTGCCACTGTGTCATCCAGCCTGCAGTGCTCCTCAGGAGGCCGAAAATTTGGTGGTGCAGGAGCCAGGGCACTGTTCCCCTTCTACCAAACTCCCGGAGCTGTGGCCCCCCCCCCGCTGCGGGCCAGATTGCGCTGCCTTAGCTGGCTAGGATTGGGCCCTGGAGCCCAGTGCTGAGCCCGATCCCGGTGTGTGGGATCTGACCTGGCACAGTTTTAGCACCTCTTGTCTAAAAGCTCTTTCATGGGGTGAGGTTTCAAGCCGTGCCCCATGTTCCTGGGCAGTACCTCAGTGTTTCTCTGTTGCCAGCCTGTCATCACAAGGTCCTAGCAGTTGACAAATCTCAGGAGCCTTTTCTCTTTGCTCCGATCTGCCTTAAACAGTGCACAGAAAATGCTCACATGAAGGAAGAGACTCAGCTTGCTGCCTCTCTCTAACCAAAACACACAAGACCTACTCCTGAGAAACCCGCCTGACCTCGGACATGAGCAGGGCAGCTTTTCCAGCCAAAAGCACTGTGTCATTTCCAATAATGTTCACGTTAGCAAGCATAAGCCACCCACCTGGAGTCAAACCTACACTGCTCTGCACACTGACAGCATCATCTGCCCTGGGCTTAGGAGAGCCATCAAGGGCTCTGGCAGATTTCATTTCTCTCCAAGGAAATCCCTCCCTCCACAAATACATTTCAGAAGACTGTTACAATCATAGAAATCTTAGAGAAGTGGGGCTGGAAAGTACTTCCAGAGGTCACATCAAGAGCAAACCCCTGCCCGAGGCTCTCATATCCCCATTTAAACCATCCCAGACAAATCCATAATCTCATCTCTTACTAATACTACAGTCACTCAACATAACACAAGACATTATGCCTGGCTCTTCCACAGGTAAAGCAGGGGGACCACAGCAGCCATTGTCCTGCTGCCGGAAATGTTTGTTAATATACACTCAAGAGATCCCAGACAGAGGCCTTGCCCCCTGCTACAGAGGAAGGCAAAACATATGAAGTTCATTTAATGCACATCACAGCTTTCTCCCCCAGCAGAATTTCCAAGAAGATCATTCATGAAGCAAGGCCAACAAGCACTTCAAAATCAAGAGCCAGCCCTCCCTCAGCTTGGACTCGGGTAATTTCCAAGTCCTCCAGTTTTGCTTTCGAGGTGACAAATCTTCTCAGCCATATTTAAAAAGAAAAAAAAAATCAGAATTGTTGCCTAAGAGGAGGAAGAGATCATTACAAACTGTCCTCTTGCCTTCTCTGTAAAACAGAACTGGGCGCCGATGCAGACTTGGCTGGTAATCAGACTAACGCATCATATAATTCATAAATAAAGGCCTCTAATCAAATACCAAAGGACAGAGATGGTTGCAAAGGACAACATCTCTGGTTCTGAAGGGCAAAATAATAAAACAGTCTCTAGAAGCTTGTACAGCTCCAAGTGCGGCTATCTAACGGCTGCACAAGAGTGGATTGGCAGGTTGCTGCAGACTTGTTGGAAAAATAACACCGTGATAAAATAAAAAGTTACAAAAGAGGTATCACATTAAAGGAGAAAGGCTTGGATTGTGCCAGGCCCTGTTCACACTAACACGGTGCCTTTTGGTTCAGGCTCCAGTCTTGTGGGACTCTGTAATGGTGTTAGGAAGTCTCTGCTCATGCCCCCGGGAACTGATGTACGGTGTGAAGCAGCTCTGACAAAGGGCACGGTGGCACCCACAGCCCCAAGAACCGCAGGAAGGAACCAGGCAGCAGGTGGAGAGAGCGGGGACCAGAGGCTCTGAATCACAGCCCTTGCTCTGCTTGGACCTGCACTAATTTTGGCAGGGTGGTTCTGCACTTCCATGTCCAGCTGTGGGGGGAACAGAGACCCATTGTGATGCCTGTCCAGACACTTGTGGCCCCTCGGCCGCAGGGCTGATGGCAGCGCAGTTTATGATGTGAACAAACAAACGTGACCGCATGTATCCAGAGTCAAAAAGCTCACCACAAGCTTGTCGGCTCCCTTCCGGGTTCAGGGCAGGCCCCCTGCACACAGCTGCCTTTCAGGATAGGGTACAAAGCCGGCAGCCAGCAACTCCCACGCTTCACAAACACATTTGCTTCTCTGAAGAGCACAGAGGCCTAACCTGGCCATTTTAGATCCACTGTGGCATCCTCTGGCTCATAGCCACGTCCTCCCCGGGTTAAGCATCAACACCCAGAGCTCTACAAGGCACGAAGTGTGCCCTAAGCAGCTTACGCTCTAAGTCGATGGGTAATAAAGATGAAGCACAAAGCGCAGCCTGATTCCATGGCATTTCCCGCTAAGACGATTTAGGACAAACACAGCTAAGACGATTTGAGCTAAACTGCATTTGCAGCCACACGCTGAAGGACAAATTCCCAAAAACCACATCCTGCCACTGCTAAGAAGCCCATCTTTCAATGTGAACTGTATCATGACTACACAGGTAAAATCAAGCACATTTTTCCCTGGTGAGCTGCTCCCCCGCATAGGGTACACATGCCAAATTAGTCACAGAGCCTGGCGAAGTCAATCTCCTGAACAAAGACAGACTCTCGCTGGACAGCAACCACTAAAACATGTTGATTTGCAATTCACCTTCGCACTACATGTGATACCCGACACAACCAGAACACTCCTCGATAGATTTATGGTAATAGGTAACTTGACATTTGTCCAAATCCCCTGCTCCTTTTTTAGACTCCTTTAATTATGACAGAAAAAGGGATTTCCTAGATGGTTAGGTTGCCTGTGATTTCCATCAAGCTGCATATGGACAGAAAATAGAATTAAGCTCAACCAGCAGCCTATTTGGGGGGTTAGTTCAATAATATCTACCTTAAATTTACCAGATTTTTAAAGACAAAAAGTGGTTTTGCAATTAAAAGACTCATTCATATTTCCTTTGTTCATCCACAGGGGTAGCACACTGCACTGCTTCTCATCACTGCCTCCTTCAAGATTTTAGGAGCAGCAGATCTCACTCATCCCCTCATCTTGCTTTTGCTCATGGGAAGGAAAACAAGCGTGTTGTCTCCCAATCAGTTTCTCAGCCGTTGATTGGCCATTGAACTGGTCCGGTCAAATTAATCTACATAAAAATGAGTCTGTCTGTAGCTGGGGATGTGGTGCCTGCTAGCAGATGCTGACAGCCTGTCTGAACCCAGCTGCTTAGCCAGCGTCTTCTTCCTGTTCAGCAGTTTGACTCTCTGAAGCTTTGGCAGGAAAAGTACAGCTTGAGGTTTCCCCTTAGTTTACATGATCTTAAATTATGTCGAGTTGAGGCCTTTTACCCTAGGCTGTCAAAGCCTATTTTAAATATAGGTTTTAAATAAAAAGCCATTGATTTTGGTCTTCTTTCTTGAACCCAATGCTGACGATAGCTCTGGCTGCACGTTTGTTAGGGCTGCCAATGAAATGATGAGTCCTTCATTTTCATCTCTAAAGTTAAAAAGGATCTAGCCAGTCAATCCATCAGCAGGCTAATATGCCTTTCCCTGGATGGCTGGGACTCAGGGCATGCTCAGGGTAGACTATCAAGAGCTGTTTTCAACCAGCAGCTCTTGTGACCTGAGTAAGAGACAGGAAGAGTTCAGCTCTGGCCTGCAGGCAACATGTGGAAGACCACCAAAGATGGATGAAGGGCAGTCATAAGTAAAGGCTTTGCTCTCCCAGAGGAAGGGAGGATCCTTTTAGGGGAGACATTTCAGGCCATTTATGCCAGTAGGATGTTGCTCATCTAAGATCACACAGGTGCTCCCAGAGACACTCCCAGTGTAATAACGGCACCTAGGTGGTGTACAGGAGATCTCGCAGGTGAATGACTCTGCTTGCCGGCTCTTCCATGACATCTCACACAGATGCTAATCACATAGAGCAAGCTCATGCTGGGTGGGATTTCTGCTGTCAGCTCCACTACTGAATCACAAAGGGCAAAGATACCTTTCACCTAGGGCTCCCCAAGCACTTGACAGCCCAGATACCCTCTTCAGTTTATGGCTGGCAACACATGGGTTAAATGACGCACCAATGTCACAAGTGAATCAGTGACAACGGATCTGGAATGCAGCTCCTCGCCTCGCAGCCTGCGCTTCGACCCCAAGACCCAACTGTTGCAGAGGCTGATGGCAAATTCACAGGCTGATGGCAAATTCACATCTGTCCACTGCTAACGCATCAAATAAGGAATACATGTGGTTTGCTGCATAGCGAGAGGATTCAGGATGCCTGAGCTCTTTTCCTTGATCATCACGGCCCTCTCATTTTGCCCCTATCTAGACTACTATGCAACTGTCCCCTAGAAATTCCTTGAGCAAACAGCTGAAATAACAGAATAAAAAATTGGCTGAGGGGCCGCACCCAGAGAGTGGTGGTGGATGGGTCATATTTGACCTGGAGGGATGTGAGCAGTGGGGTCCCCCAGGGCTCAGTCCTCGGGCTTGCACTGTTTAACATCTTCACCAGTGACTTGGACAAGGGGGTGAAAAGCACCTAGTTCAAATTCACAGATGACACTAAGATGTGGGGAGAAGTGGGCACACTGGAGGAGAGGGACAGGCTGCAACTAAATC